GACTTCCTTTCACTTGTCTATTTATTTACATTTGATTGACTTTTTTGTTTATGCATAAAGGTGAAAGTTCCTATGGTATACTTACATATGCGCATAACATGATTTTTAAATAATTCTGCATTGCCTCCCCTTTCCCATCCCTTCACTCTGCCTCTCAATCTTCTTCTATGCTACGGAACTTTTCTTCCTCTTTATATTACTCTATCCTTCCCTTCTCCTTTTCTTTTCTTTACTCTAGCTTTCACATATGAGAGAAAGCATTCAACATTTGAGTTTCTGAGTTTGGTTTATTTCACTTAGTATGATATTCTCCATTTCCATCCGTTCATCTGCAAATGTCAAAATTTCATTCTAAAAGATTCATAATTTTTGATATTGAAAAATACATGTATTGGTACAACTCATAAATAAGGCATCTGAAATTCTTTCTTAGATGACTTCTTTGCTGTGATTAATTCCTTAATTTATTGTGGTTGCTCACTTTAACCAGCCCCAAATGGAGTCCTTCTCAGAGTTGTTATAAAAGATACAACATTGCTAAATTTAATGCTTAGGGACTCAGACACTTGTATATAGTGATTGAGCATTCAGCAATATCTATTGGTAAATCTTTACTCTTGTGCCAAAAAATAGTCATTGGCATTATTCTAGGTACTTGGACTCTCCACTCCCTAATCCCACAGCCAATGTGAATTAGTGAGGCCATTCACTCAGATATTTTTTTCTCCACTCAAGGAAAATAAGTCTTAAAACTCCTTGAGAAGTTTTATAGTAGTTAAATATTGAAAGCTAGATAGAGGAACTAATTATAATTCTTTGCATACCTTATTTTAGTATTGTAATATATGTTAAATCTGGATCTCAAGTACCTTCTATGGAATGGATGCTATTTTCCATTTGAGCTTTCTCACTGAAGAAAACCAAGAGTCTAATTCATAGGAAATTATACTGACCTAAAAGGGTTAAGATGACAGAAATGATGGTGTAAGTTCACCCTAGAAAAACTTGTAGCAGGCTTTAACTGTGTTTCCAGGTCAATTTGCATACTATTGTGTCTTCTTTCTTCCTAGGCTGTAGGAATTTTTCTCAGGGGATCAGCTGGCTTCACACAAAATTCTTGGTGCTCTCCTTTGGACTGAGTATATATCAGACTTTGTAGAGCTGATAACTGTTCGAAACCACCGTGGACACTCATGAGCACGTCTACTCTATCCTTCTTTGGGTACACTGCCCACCTTTCAGATGGCCATAGGGGTGGTCTCCTAGTAACTCCACATGTCAATATTATAGTTGCTGCCATGCAGCCACATTTAGAACCTTGCATCCATCTATCAACTAGATATCTCCACTAGCATGTCCTCTGGATCCCTCAAACCCTGTGTCAGAGATCACACAAAACATCTTCCTCCCCAAACCTGCTCTTTCTTTAGGATTCCCCCATGGGCAAGAGCTCCACCATCCATCCAGGCCCCCAAACAGAAACCCTTCCTGAACCCTTTCCTCTTCCTTATTCCCCACATTCAGCTGGTCCCTAGGATTTGCATCTTCTCCCTCTAGAACTGAATCCCTTCTATCCATTCAGACGCCTTCTCAGCTCAGACTCTCATCTCTCACCTTGGTTCTTCCTTACTCATGTTAGATGTCTTCTCTGGGAGGTTTTTCTTACCTCACCTGCACTCTTTAGTCTGGGATAGATGCACTATATGTTTGCACCATATCTTGTTTTATATACACTACTAATTCTACATTTTCTTTTACATCTTCCCACAATGTACTGTAAACTTCTTCAGGAACTTTTTTTTTTTTTAATTGAATGGCCAGCCCTGAACAGCGCTTGTTACCTGATGATTGGTCCTCATTAATGTCTACTGAGGAAATGAAAGATAATTTGCATTCGTCCCGTGTTCTGTGTACCTGGGGACTCTTCATCAGGGCCTGAGTGTGATTACACAGTTTCTATACCTGGATTTTGGGTAGGATTGTCAGGAACTACATTCCCTTTTGGTATATATCCATTTTGTAGTAATGAATGAGAACAGCAGCAAAAGCAACAGCATTTAGCACAATGTTATACATGTTATAGGCCAGAAATAAGAGCTTGTTAAATAAAAATGGACAGGTTAAACAGTACTCAAACCTAGGGATTCAGTTTTTACAGTTTGTGCAGTAAAAGGTCTGTTTTTGAATATTACTAAAAACCTAGTATAAAATATAGTAGGTATTTAAAAACAATGAACAATAATAAGTTATCACTGAGTACTTATATTTTATGTTCTTCATATAAATATCTCATTTAATCCTCAAAACTTTATAGAGTTTATACAGTTATCCTGAGTTTATACAGTTATGCTGTTATCCCTGTTTCATAATTGAGGACATTTTGGGGCCCAGAGATGTTAAATGGCATGCTGAAGGTCACCCACAAGTTAGTGGTGGCACCAGATTTGGACCTAATTTCAGAGCCTGCATTTGTTTATCATGACTGCTTGACTCAATACACATGGGACTAAATCTATGTCATGCCCACCTGAGTAGACTCAGTGGAATTCATAGCCAGTGAATTACAACTACTGGAATATAATTTTTGTTTTCTGACATTTTTTCTATTAAAGTTATTTATTTGCCCAAATTCAGGCAAATGAATTAAAATATCACACACATTAAGGTGTTTAACATTGCTTTTTCTTTCTACAATTAAAGGTAGACTTCATTAAAAATGCAAAAAATTTCTTCAAAATTTTTTCTCTTTCCCCAAATTATCATTCTGTAAGATATTTGCTCACATTACTTGATTTGTATAGGAATTAAGGTTTTTATCTTGAACGGATGGAAAATATATTTACTCTTATGCTAAATTACAGATTTTTGATCTTTTTTTTCATGGCAAAAGAATGAAGAATCACTCACAGAAATGTCCCCTGACTTGACTAGCTTCAACGGAGCATAACCAGAGAATCACCACCACACTAGGAAGTTTCATGAGTGTCTTAAAAACAGTTGTGCATGAATGAAAAATACACCTTTAATTTTATCTTTTTTCTTTGATGGCCACTACTCTTATTACCAACCAGAAAAATGGGATCCACCAAGCCTGCTAGCGTAAAACACCACAGAAATAAAAAGGGAATTAGATTCTATTAATGTAGCCCTTTATTTACCTGATTAAATGTGTCTGCTTCAGGTTCTGATGATAGTATCAATATTCACAATGGGGAAAGACCCCTGTTTGCTTTTTTTTCTCAGTTCTAAGTTTGTTAACATCATTTAAAAATACATCTTTGGGGGTTACTATGTGACAAATTCTCAAGGGCTTAAGGAAATGTGGAAAACATTTTTACAATTAGTAGAACCGATGGTCTATAACCAAATTACCAATATGGTACTTAAAACTATTCCCCTAAGAGTTGTGCATGAATGAATGCATTAATTACTGCTTCAATACTAAAAACTAAAAGCCAAAGGAGTTTTTGTTAAAATTGCCCAATCACCAAAGGAAGCTTTCCAAACAAACTCATCCCCTGATTTGTCTGGTCTATGCTCTTTACAGAAGAGAAAATGTTCTAGAAGACAGAATAGTTGGTACCTAAATTGTGTCCAAAAGATTATTTGATGTAAATGATCAACAAACAGCTCATTAAACATCAGGTTAATAGCTCTTTAACATCCTTCAAAATGGAGCAATTTTAAACATTAGGTTGGAATTGGATAGTGGTAAGAGAATGTTTAGTAGAATTGATATATGTGGGAGAAACTACAATTTGCAACTTATACATCTACAAAATTGGTGTGACAATATTTTAAATACAGGTGTGATTTTGCTAATCAAAAATAAATTATTTCAGGTGTATGCAAAGTTTAAAACTCATACAACTGTTAACTTCAATCTTTGCATTGCACTATAGGCAAACTATAACTCAATTAAAAACAAAACAATCCTAACTTTCAAGGTCATAAAAAGCAAAGAAAGTCTGAGAAGCTGTCAGCCTTTTTAAAGAGATGTGAAGACTAAATGTAATGTGATACCTTGGAATGGATCCAAGAACAGAAAAAAAGAAAGTTAAAAATGAATGAAACAAAAATTAAGTATGAAGTTTAGTTAATAATCTTAGTTCACGAGTTGTAACAAATGTACCATAGTAATGTAAGACAGTTAATCATAACTAATGTCTAATATGTTGAGAATAGGAAAAATTGGGGTGGGACATAAGAGACTCTTTGTAACTTTTCTATATCTAAAACTATTTTTTTTTCCTGAGGTGTTGAGTATTGAGCACAGGATCTCATGTATTCTAGGCAAGTACTTTACCACTGAACTACATTCTGTACCCCCTAGTCTAAATTAAAAAAAAACAAAACAAAAAAACAAAACCCAAACTCTTATTTTTGACAGTGGGAACACACAGAACAAGAGGGGAAATGATAATGACAGTTACCCCAAGACACTGCACAAGGGTCAAGAACATCGACTGGAACATGAAATCGTCAGTGTATATTATCTACTTTAAGCAGTAAGTATAGTCATTAAGTGTGTGGTTTTTCTTTAATCTACTGGACACTGGCACTGAATATTCTTTGATCAGATTTACTTTCTTGATAAAACAATTTAAGATTGTATTATTACATTTTCTAAGCTGGGCTAATGTTAAAAAGTTGTACACATGAAAATGGCAATGAGCTAAATGAACAATATGGTTTTATTGTCAATGTAAGTATTATTCTCATTGTAAATAACTGAATGCCACCATTTCCTCCTGCCTAATTCCTCCACCCATGAGGTACACACATTATTTATATACGAAATTTTGTGCCTGTCTAATTTTTTTTTTGCAGGTGGTGTGTGTTTATACATGTGTAAAGAAAACGCGATTACAATACCAACTATGTTTCTTTGTTAAATATGTCTTTATGCTATAAGCCATGATCATAATTAAGGCCCATCAATCCCCCTTTTGATATACAGGGAGTCTTCATCATTCGTTGGTGTTAGTGCTAGCCAGCCTTCAGAGCCGCTCAGTCGAGTTGAGCGCAACCTTAAAGCTATGTCTTGTGTCTCCATATCTGGGCTTGGGTGCTGGAGGCGGGGGCTGTTGTGGTACACACAGGATGAAGCAGGATCCTTCCTTTGTGGCGCGCTGCTCCATCAGGAACAACCTATACGATAAGGATAAATTTCTCTTTTTTCAGTTAACAGTTCTGGGACAGAGGCTGATGGAGAGGTCCAGAGCCAACGTAGACCGAGATGAAGATGAGGAAGACCAGGAGTAGGAAGAGGCTGGCTGCCGCGGCGGCCACAGCGAAGAGCTCCATCCACAGCGCAGCCTCTAGAAATCCGGACTCCAGGGCTGCTGTGAAGCGCCGCGTTGCCATGGGAACCGCGGCGGCGCTCCAGCTGAACCCTCCGTTTATTACGCGAGCATCGATCCGCGCAGGGCGCCGGGGTCTCTGAGGCGCAGGAGCTAGCAACGGCTCAGCGGCGCGGGCTCCCCGCCCCCATCGAGGTGCGGAAAAAGCAGAACTCGCAAAACCGCTTAGAGGACAGGTTCCATACAGGTTCCCGGTGACCGATCGTCTAGACGCGGGTCGGGAGTCGCAAGCTTAGAAACCCAGGGTACGCGCGTGACGCCCCGGCTGCGAGGCCCCTCCTTCCCTTTCACCCGCTGCCAGGACCAGCTGCGGACACCAAGAACCTCCTCTTGCCAATCCTCGGTCTTCACTGACGCTCTGGGACCTGCCTAGAGGAGGATCTGCACCCCGCGCCTAGAGCACCTGGAACGGAGAAAGTTTGAGGCCGCAGGGCATTTTCAAAGAATTTTTCCCCAAAGCCTGGGCCTCTTGTTATCACCCTTTCCTTTGCCCTGCATGCTCTTAAAGCGGAGAGGAAAAAAACAAGACATCCACAGGAATGCTGTTGGATCAATTCTTTAACGCGCTGTCTTGTCCCTGAAACTAGATACATTTCAGAATGGCAATGTTGGGGTAACTATTAATGAGACAGTATCAGGGTTTTCGAAACGCTTGCTGGTCCGTGTTGGTGGCCCTGCGAGAGTGCTTGGCACCTCTCAAGGCCTTTGGGACTCAAGGACAGCAGTTCCTGCCAAAGGCCCCCACTCCCGGGCCGGACTTCTACCGCTCTTGAAACGCTGAAGGCGGACGTTCCCCCATTTTACCCATCAAGGTTTCTCCTCCCAAGTCATTGCGAAACCCCCGGCTCCAGAGACCCCGGGCTCTGGGCCTGGGCCTCAAATCCACCTCCAGCAAGCGAAGGCCCTGTCGCTCCGGGCTATAAATATTAATAAGCTGCACGGCTCCGGGCTTAATTATCTCCCTTTAATTGCAGCTCAACCAAAAATCCAGCCTCCTGCCACTCAAGCCTCCTTATGTCGAGATCGTTTGGTTTCGTGGTCGGAAGTCTCCCTCAGCTCAAAGTCATTCTTTGTATTCCGCTGCCCAACCTGGAAACCATATGCTGGGCCTCTCAGCGGGTTAAAATCACCCTCCCAGAGATTCGAGCTGATGACGCCTCTTCGCTTTGCATTGGGGCGTCTGTGTCCCAGTGGTCTCGCCGCACTCCACTTCCCCGTTCCCTTCTGCCGCCAGAGGACCCTGCCTTCGTCCCTCTTCCCCAAGTCCCCACGCTACTAAAGCTAGAGAGGTTTGGCAAATAGGGGCAGCCACTGGTGAGCTTCGCCCTTGGCTTGATCTGTAGGACACCTGCGGGCCACAGGACCGGCCTCAGCTTGGCTGCTCCAAGGAACGTAGACCTACTGGCTCCATCACAGCCAAGGTCAGTCCCGCCCACAGGCTCGGTCTGCCCGGTACCTCACTGCATGGGCGACCCCTCTGACCCACCACCCCTGCCAGTCTGCTTCGTCCTCGAGGGCTGTTCGTTTAAGGCTGCTCTCAGTTGAGAAAGGACACCTGGTCGCAACAGCTTCGATGCTCAAGGGCTTGGAGCATTCTCTTGGGGTACTGGAGGTTGGGGTGGATAGCTGCATCCACCGCTGTCTCCTGGACGCTACACTAAAGCTCCTAGTAGGGGTTTCGCGTGGGTCAGGGGAAGCGCAGCCCCAAGCTGGCCTCGCCCATTGCCCAGGCCTCCCCGCTCCCTGTCCCCTGCCCTGCGGCGCTCTGGGGCATTGGAGGAACCAGCAAAATCCAGGCACTTGCTTCTCTGCAGGCCCACGGGCTTCTGGGGCTCTGGCCACCTTCTCACTGGTGTATTCTATTCGCTCAGGGTCCTGGGACCCTTGCAGAGCCCCCAGAGGCTCCGTGTCACAGGAACCAGTAGAGGTTGAAGGCCTTGCAGAACCCAGAGCCAACCTTGCTGCTCCTGGGAAAGTGGTGCAAGCCAGGCGCCCTTCCCGAGGATCTAACTCCTGTCAGCACCTCAGTAGGCCCCATTTTCTGACTTTCTGCACAAACCCGGACTTTCAGACTTCTAAGGTACCACCATAGGTCAATAGGAACTACTGAATTATTTGTCTACTTATTTCAGTCCGAAGCCTTGTGTACCACAAACAGCTACCCCAAACAGAAAAGGTACTGTCCACCTCCTAAGGATTATTATGATTAAAAAACACCAGCCATTTATTTCATACATTCCCATTTGAATTGCATCAAGAAAAAAGTTCAAAATACAAAATGAATATTTCAACATTCACAGTAGTTAAATTAACACCCAGTATATTTCAACTTAAAATGCAGATCTTTAGCAGTGGCCCACCTAAGAGAAACTATGTGTTAAACAAACTTAAAGGTCAGGGATCTGACTGTAGTTGTCAGAGTTTCATGAATGCTAACTGTCCACTGAGATGACAAAGAAGATTCACCTCAGATACTTCAAGATTGCAGGTATTGAAGATAGTTTCTGGTGGAGGTTTCAGAGGCAAAAAATCAGTTTTTTCCCCTGACCAACTCAGTTTCCTGTGTAATTAACATAGGTTCAAGGCAAATAGTTAACTGAGGCCTGGACTTGGGGTGGGGCACATTTTGGTCAGACAGGAGGTCAGTACAACCACCATGGAACCTGTGGTCTTGCATCTTCCCCTGTGTTCTAACCTTGCAGCCCCTAAATCACCTTAGGGAATAGGCTACAAGAGCAGTGGTACCTGGGAAGGAGGTATAGTAGGTGAGGACATGGGCAGCAGGACAAATGGGGGATTGGCAGCAGTGGACAGGCCTGTGTTTGATTTTTTTACTATCCCAGCACTAAGAAGTGTTCAACTAATGTTAAAGGGCCCAGAGCTACAATGAGACAGTGTGGACTTGGTGTTCTCTAGGAGGGTATTAGCTTGAGCTGCCTGTTGGCAGGCCTCAAGCCTGTATGGAGTAATTCTAGTTCTATCCTACTTTTCTTTCTACTACAGTGGGTGGAGGCAGGCAGTGGTGGGAGAGAGGAGCCACAAAAGCCTCTTGTCCTTTAAAAGCACAGAATGGCATTTGCAAATCTTCTAATGAGAGTATTCTCAGTTTGTCTTGGAAATTCATATCAACCAAGAAGGGTTGCACAAGGCTGAGACAGGCATTTATTTTTAGATATTTTTTTCCCTTTTCAAACTGAATCTTTATCCTCCTGCTCCCATAAACATATTGATACCTGTGATTGAACCCAGAGTTGCTTTACCTCTTAGCTACATCTCTACTCCTTTTTAAAATTTTTTTCCAGACAAGGTCTAAATTGCTGAGGCTGGCCCCAAACTTGTAATCCTTCTGCTTCAGCCCCCTTAGTTGTTGGAATTACAGGTGTGCACCACTGTGCCTGGTTCTCTTATATTTTCTGATTGTTCTTTGTATAGATGGAGGCAATTGACTTTGTTATTGTTTTTAAGATGAGGATCTCACTATATTGCCCAGGCTGCACTTAAGCCCACCATCTCCCAAGTAGCTGTGATTATAGGCGTTTGCCACCATGCCCAGTTTAGAGACAGGCATTTAAAAATGATTCTTTTCTGGATGACAGTCTTGGGATCTCTCCTTTTTTTTCTTGGTTCTCTCTTTTACACTCATGAATCTGCCTGGTTTGTATTTGTAATAAAATTTTTAGCTTGATAAAGATCAAAGTCACTCACCAACTCATCTCTGAAACCTCTTCATTTTCCCTGGCAGTAAAAGTCGGAAAGCTGTTTTTGAATTCTGCTCATTCAGCCACACCCGGGCACTTCCAGGATAATGCAATACTAGAATAGGGCCCAGAAAACCTCTATGTCTGTCACCAGCCGGCTGAGACTGGCCTAGAGGTGCCATGGAGAACTGGACCAAACAAGCTCTGCTGAATGATCTTCTGTCAGTCACTGGAGAGTCACCACAAAAATTAAAACATAACACTCTCCATTATTACAGACTTCAGATTTGACCAGCTCTTACTAGCTCCTTACAACCACTCCTTAATGCCTGCACTAATGACAAAAAAGCCATAGCCCAGGGAGATGAAGTGCTCAGATGTAGGCCAAGGATGGGAGTCTCCTGAGTGTCTCTTGGACCCTTGCCCTGCACCAGTCGCTGTAAAGAGAGCAGGAGTCTGTATTTGTAGTCTGTATTTGGAATGATGGTTTTGCCCTGGAATTCAGGCTGTATCTCTGGAGGTGTACACAACACAACTCTCAGCAGCAGAGCAACTACTGGGTGCCTATGGAGAACCTGTGCGTAGTCCAGGCAACAGAGCTAGACACAAGAGGGAGCCAGGTCTTTCCACAGGACAAAGGCTTCCAGCTGGAGGGTATTATATGCATTAGCAGAAAGCTTCTTTTCAAAATTTTACTTAATTTTATTATTTTTGGGGATTGAACTCAGGGCCTGTCACATGCTAAGCACATGCTCTACCGCTGAGCAATACCCCCAACTTCCTTTTCTGGAAGCCTCTTAACAAAGATAGTAGCAAGCTGGGGAATCACTTCCATTTCTGTAGTGGTGATGGGTGCCATGTTTTTCCTCCCCTCTCTCTCTGTTCCATCTCACCTGGCTCACTGGACATAAGCCCTAGTAACTGATTAGCAATGCCAGCCATAGACTTGGACAGTTTTGTTTTTCTTTAGAAACTGCAGGGTGTGATATTCATTAGCCTAGACATTCAACCATCTTGGATGTGTAGTACCTACTAGATTTTATGAAGGACAGACACCCAAACAAACCTGTCATTCATGCTTATGAAGACCAACCCTAATCTATACCTCATGCCCAATTAGAGCCTGAGACAATGAGACTGGGATCTAGAAGAACTATAATCTTTCTCTTGTTTGCTTGGGTTTAAAAATTTACTACTCAGAGTAGTTCATGTCTTCAACCTGCTAGCATGGAAAATAATGAAAAGAAGGATTTAGGTGAGGTGGCATTCTTTGTTGAGTAGGGCTAGGCCTAATGAGAATTTGGGGATTTGCAAACTACTTACAGATGTTATAATAGTGCTTGATTGCCCTTTACCATTACTAATTGGTAATGATGGCTGACATTTATGGGCCCTTACCAAGTGTGTGGCAATGTGCTAAGCATTTGATGAGTATTGATTCATTTCATCTTCATAGCAACCCTGTAGGGTAGTTTCTGTAACTCTACCCATTTTAAAAGTGAAGAAACTGAGGCAGAGAGACTTTCTGTAACAGTGCTGATAAGTAGCAGAGTCAGGGTTTGGCTCAATTTTGCTTACTTGTGAATTAACACAGGCCATCAATCAAACAGGTGAAGTCAGTTTCAGCAAAGTTGTGGTCACTAATGCCAGGTGGTTTCATTTGGAAAATAAATCTGTACTCTCTTAGCAAGAACTCACAGTACAGGCTATTTTCTCCTTCTCTCCTTCCCCAGAATATTAGAACTGAGATTCCAGGGGTGGTGCCTAGAAGAAAGTGACAAGTAACTTGTTTGTTCCACGTAGCTCTAGGTAGCAGGGCCCAGGCAGAATCTGAATAGGCTGATGTCAGTCATTTGGCACTGGATGTGCCTTCTTAGGTCAATAACATTGTATCATAGGAAATGAGCAGGGATAAAGATAAATGAAATCCCCCTAAAAAACAGGAGGAAGTAGATGTGAGCAAACTGAAACCAAAAGTAAGAGTGACTAGATTAATATGTAAATAGTTTTTATTAATGGCAGTTAAAGATTTTCATAGGGAACTGTTTGACTCTCAAACTATCATTTTCAGCAATTATTAAACACCTTGCAATAGTTTGAAGCATTTTAAAGGTACTATGTATTTCTCTCAATTCTTTGAATCAATTTTTTAGTAGCAGTATTCTGTATTTTTAGAGTGCTTCTTTATTTTTAAAAGTACTTTTGGGGCTTTTATTATCAGGAGTAGAGTATATTACATTTTCTCAGCAAATGAGCAAGGGGGTTGCTGACAAGGTGTTAGCGTCTGTAAACAAGTCAAGATGGTGCCTGGCATTTTGCCAGAGGGAGTGGTTTGAGAAGTAATGCCAGCGAGCCATTAAGTGTGGAGATTCCTTATTGGTTGACTGCTGTATTGCTGAGAGCCACAGCCGAGTCTGTATGGCTCCTGGGCATTTTGCCAACAGTATTGATTGACAGGGGAGGCATTATCTGCCTCTGCTGCTACTTTTGCATCTTGTGCTATTTTGGACTTCTTGCACTATTTTGAGTTCTCACGGGGATTCCCTTGGCGTTCCCATTGGTTGGCAAGTGCAGGAGGAGGGATTTCCCGGGGAGCTATTTCCGGCTGGGGGTTCCTGCAGGAGCCCCGTGGCTTTGGGGGAGGATTCCTGCAGGAGCCTGTGTGAGGTTTTTTCCTGCAGTTAAAAAATAAAGTTTGTTCCTGCTTCAGTGGCTCGTCATTTGTGCCCAGCCAGACTGCGGCACTGTATCTATTTTATGTTAATTAAGATAAGCTGTGTGGAATGTATATATACCACTCCTGTTCTACAATAAATGGCTCCCACTTCTGCTGTATCAATGTACACAAATTGTTCGTCACCCCCTGGTTAATTTGCTGCAGCCCGACTGTGGCAACAAGAAAAAATCATTCTTTGAGTATGCACCAGGAGCAGTTTTTCACTTGTTTTTCACCAAATCCTGAGTTATAGATATGATCAACTCCTTTTTATGGATCAAGAAATGAAATCCAGGGGCATTGTTTGTTAAGTAGCTAGTAATATTCTTAGAATATTTCCTAAAAAGTGTATTTGTATCCTTTAGTACTTTTGTTAGAAAAACTTAAAAATGACCATTTAGACTTGGAAGCTTTATTCTGTTTTTTTTTTTTGTTTGTTTGTTTGTTTGGTTGGTTGGTTGGTTTCGGTTTGGGGTTTTAGTACTGGGGATTTAAACCAAGGTCACTTAACCGCTGAACTATATCCCCAGCCCTATTTATTTATTTATTTAGATTCAGGATCTAGGTAAGTTGCTGAGGCTGGCTCTCAATTTGGGATCTACTGCCTCAGCCTCGGAAGCTGCTGAGATTACAGGTGTAACCCAACCAAAAAACTGTTTTATGTCTCCATATCTAGTCAACATAACCCCAAGATTTTTTTCTTTGCTTGCCTGTGCCATAATAAGCAACCTGTAAAGTATTCGTTTGATATTTCTCTTAAGGCAGAAATATTTTGGATTAAGTAGATATGAACAATTCAGAAAGTGATTCTTTTTTTTCA